CTTTTTATTGTAAAATTCGATAAATATGGAAGGTTACATGCATCAAAACTATTAGCCCGAAATTTATTATATGTTAATTAACCTATTACTATTGTTAACCTTCCACCTTTAATCAAAATAAGTAAATAGACATATTTAAATAAAAAAGATAGCACGTTAAAGGCAAAATTTTTCTAAAAAATATGAAATTCCTCTTCCCGTTTGTCAGAATGTGTAGCATTCTGGAAATTGGATAAAGTGGCTTGAGAATGTTTTGTTGTATGATACCTCAATTGGATATTCCTATTCAATGATTTCCTCCTCGCACTTAGGCTTCCAAACTTTTCAAAGAAAATTTCTGGACTATATTTAACAATTCAAAGCCGCTTTCTTCCCTCTAAATTTTGAGTTTTTGATACATGTGAAATTATATATTACGCCTCTTCCCTTGTGTTGATTTTTTCATCGTTTTTATACATATAAGTCATTCTCTTGATAAGTTGGATTTGCCCAAATAATTTTTTAATATTTAATTGCTTTTCCGTGAATGAATCAGCGAGACCCCAAATCTGTATTTCCAACATAGAAAAGTTTATATTCATCACACAAACTATGTTGATTTTTTAGATAAAATTATATTTTATACATAAGTTAGGGCTGGAAGAGTAGAGAGGTTAAAATCCTAATTCAGTAATAATTGTCTTGACTAAACTTGACTTAATATATGACCAAATAGTTTGGTTAGTTTAGCCAAGTGCTCATTTGAGTTACGTGGCCAGCCTACATAAAAGTAATATCATCCTGTGAAAAGAATAATACAATTTTTGAATAAAAGTTGACAATTTGCTCCGAAATTTATAAAAAATCCAGATCTTTTGCTGATTCTTGATCAATTAAAAGCTTGATAAGTTGGTCAATCTATATAAGCATGATATCCCTAATAAAAAAGTATGATAATATATATAATTGAAGTATTCAAGGATTTATAACAGAAAATATAAATACTTTTTCATTAGGTTGAACTATTTTGTGAGCTTTACTAAATGATTAATGTTAATTGAATTGGTAGTGGTTACTACATTTGGATGTTTTTTTCTTTAAGTCCCAAGGTTGGTACCAAGACATAGCGAGTATTTATAGAGGGTGCAGTTATAGAGAGCGCAGTTATAGATGTCTGGCTGTAGTTTCTAAAATTAACTGAAGTTGAGAAAATTTAATGGGATAAAAATACAAAAGGCGATGCAACTATATTTTAATATTAATGGAGACTAATTCATCGCTTTTAGATAGTCAGTAATTGTTTTACAATAAGGCATACATATTTATCTGATATTTTGGAAATGTAATTTAACAGGTTTGTTCTGACATATGCTTTCTTCTTCCCCAAAGTTCTCGTGACAACACATGCTATGACTCGTCATATTGTAAAACTGTGATATTTCTTGGAGTTACGAATCGTGTATTATTTAGACCTAGCCTGTTAAAAAACACAAAAAAAAAATTATCTTTATTAAACATCAGTAATTTTTGTTACATATACCTAATAATGAGTGCATAAGCAAAACCTGGAAATTCAAAACAGCAAATGGTCAATTTCAATCAACCCTATTTTGGCTTAAATGGTCAATTCGTTTATGTACCATTAAATCCTATTCTGGCCTATCAAACATTAAAAAAAAACCATAATAATAATAATAATAATAATAATAATAATAATAATAAATGGTCAATTCATTTAAAAAACCCCACAATAATAATAAATGGTCAATTCATTTAAGTAATCTTATTTTTGGCTTATTGATTATTTAAAAAAAACCATAATAATAATAAATGGTCAGTATCATGCAAAAATTAATTTACTAAAATAATATTTTCTTGATTTAGTCAATTCATTCAAATAAAGAAGATTTGTACTCAATAATTAATATGCAAAAAAAAAAATATCGCTGAACGAAATGAACAAATATCGTGAAATTCTAGGTGAAGAAAAAAAGAAGAATGTCAGTAAGAGTGCTGAGGAACTGATCCGATCTGGTATTAAACTGTGGTTTTGTTTACAAATTTAGGAGCCTGTAGTAAATACTGAATGGTATGAGCGAGGGTGTATTGTCGATACTAATTTCGTGGAAGGACCATGGGATATTGACGATTCAAATGATAATGAAGTAGAACTTTGTTATTTTCCTTGTATACTATCAAAAGGAAAAGAAACAGAAATTTATTACAAATTTCAAGTTACAATTCGAAAAAAATCGAAATCGCCTTAGGGTTTGCGGAACATTATTTAGTTTTGCTTTACTTTTTTTTGTTTTTTTTTCTAGAATGTGGTTTAATTGAAGGGATGCTTGTTTATTCATTTCTTGCTGAGGGAACTTTGAATAAGCAGTAGGTGAACATTTTTCAGTAAAATGCAAAAAAAAATTTTTTTTTCTTTGCTTTTAATTAGTTTATTGTTTAACTTTATTATCATTATAATTCTATTGAAACTTCATCAGTAAAATAAAAATCAGATTTACCATCCTTTAAACGTCAGTTTAATAAAAAATTCCATGATATTGATACGGAAAATCGTTTAAAGGGCGGATTTAACTTTCATACGATTAGTCGCTACAAGATTACAATTTATAATTTATTCCTTATCATGCGACAAAGTTTATGTGATCGCGATTGTTTGCTCTTCTATCATTATGTCTTGGATGTCATTATTCTACTTCTCGTTTTTATTTAGATGAAATTAAACCAATGAAATAAACAAAAAAGAAATGCCCAAGCTCTTTGTCAAACTTTTATAAAAGCACTGTTCTACTCTGAGTTTAGGGAAAACCCGAAACAGAAACTAACAGAAACCACCTGAAACTAGTTTAGGTTAGTATTTTATGTTTAGGTTTAGTTTTAGTTTTAGTTTCTGCTTAGTGTAAGTTCATTGTCCGAAACGTTTCGGGAAGCCAAAAGAGTTTCTGGTCACAACACTGGTTCTAACTGACCAAAGAAAAAATTCAATTGATTTTGATTTTTGATTTGCCCTTTGTCGTTTTCATCACATATCATCACATTTTGTCGCATGTTTCCTGTTCGACGAAATACTTTTTACATCAAAATATTTTCATCACCTAACCTTGATTTATAAGTCTGATGAATTAATAGAGCTGATGTCCCTAAAACGCCTGCATCTGATCCTAGTGCACTGGACTAATTTCTTGCCAATATTAATTCTATTGCATCTCCAGAATCCATCAAAACTGAATCTCCTGTCCCTGATAATACAGAGCTCAAAAGCAAATTTCTGAATCTTCTGCTGAATCTAACAAATTCTCTGTACCAATACCTAAAAAAGTTCTCTCCCAAAGCCAGCCAAATTTCAGATAAAAAATACAGAAGTTTCAAGTATATCTGTGAAAGCCAATTCTTCTGTATCTAAGCTAGCCAAACTCAAAGTATAAAGTTACAGCCCCAAATCAGTGAGGATAAATTATTGGATATTATATTATCAGCTGAAAATAACGACACTTTGATCTAATCCCTGAGCCAATGTCTGAATTAACTCCATCTATAAAAAAAACTGATTGTGATTTGAAATCTCCAGAAATGTATCATACTCATGGAAAATTATAGGAGGACTACAGGAGGACGATGGACTTTGCCACTCATGGAATTTTCAGTAATATTTTTAGAATTAAAATAGCAGACTATTTTTTTTATGGGCCAAAGTTACATTCTGAAATTTCTGAACCAATTCCCGAGCCACTTTCTAAACCTGAAACCACTAACTATAAGGAGGACGCCCTTGAAAGCATGTATAAGAGCACTAGGCAGAGTTGGAAAAAATATGATGATGATCCTGATTATTTTAATTGCTTTATTATAGAAATAGAAGACCTTCTTCTGAATATAAAATCCCTGATTTCATGACACCATTCTCTTAATTTGCTTGTGCAGTTCCAATAGCATTGACTATAGAAAAGCTCATCTTTGTATAAACTTTCTTTAACCGAAAAAAAAATTACAAGAATAATTATAAAAGTCTAATAATTTAAAACTGCAAATGGTCTCTATTTTGGCTTATCAATCAGTTTAAAAAACCATAATAATAATAAATGGCCAATTCGTTTAAATATCATGCAAACCAATTTTTGACTTTATTGTCAAATAATAAGCTCGCTTAGAATAGTGTTGTGACGGAATATTTTCTTGATTTAGTCAATCCATTTAAATAAAAATGCAGCTATAATAAATAAAAGAAGATTGTCATGCAAATAAATTTAAAAAAAAGATATATCATATTTTTTTATTAATAATAACCATTAGTTCTAAATTAGAAGAGTAAATTATGGATCAGTAATATAATTGGACTCATCATTTGAATGTTTTCGAATGGTTCAAACATTCAAGTAATTTGTATCATTGGATTCTCTTAGTTCTTATTGAGCTAAAAGATAGTCCAGAGCAAACTCGCTTTATCTTTGAAGAGGGTTTAAAAGATTTAGCAAGCGAGATAGAAGAAATATATACTAACGTGCAAAAAGCCCTGATGAACATTTAAAAATAATTAATGAATGTCATAACTGTATATCAACACCAAATAATGAAGATTTAAGACAATCGCTTTTAAATAAAATCCTACCTCAAACAAAGCTTCTTAATGGTTGGTTACCTTATTTACAGCAAATAACAGACTCCCAGCGAACAGTTTTAAAAACAATGGCACATCAAAATATTCAAGCAAGGGTTGCTTATATCAGAGCCATTTCGAAACCTCACTTAGATCAAATAGACTCTGAGGGCTATCACTATACTAGAAATCCTTATTACAGACAAGTAATGAATGAAAAAAATGAAATAAATGACAAATACAACGAATTATTGGCAAATAACAATGCTGGACGTTCAAATTCCGATCAAGGATCAAGTCACGATGATGAAGGTGAAGGAACTTTACAGAAAAAAGTTGGAAAAATGAATAAACAATTTGAACGTGAGCTTAAGCGAATAAATCAACAACTTTTAGAAAATATGGAAATAAATACTCGGATTTTAGAAGATATGAAAGAAAATATGAAAATAAATGACAAAAATACGCAATCAAATGCTCAGATTTTAGAAAGTGTGAAAGAAAATAAGAAAATAAATACCCTTATTTTAACCAATACGCAAATAAATGCCCAAAATTTAGAAAAAAACAAGAAAACAAATGCTCAAATTTTAGAAAATACGCAAAATTTAAAATCACTTGATTTTGAATGTGACCGTTTATTCAAAGAAAACAACTTTTATAAAAAAGAATTAGAAAATATTAAAAATCAATTAACGAATACTGAGAAAAAAGCTTTAAATTTAGAAGCTGCACTCGGGGATGCTACTAATGTTCGATTGAGTGATGAATCCCCAAATAATTCTCTTCAATTAAAAAGTGATATCACTAAATTTAAAAAATTAGTAGAGAATTTTATTAAAGTCAAAGGAAGACACATAAAAATCAAAGAGCAAGCAGCAAATGATTTATTATTAAAATATAGGTTTAAAAAAAATGAAGATACTTTTAAGGATGTTTTAGGATTCATCCTTCAAAGTATAGTAATTGATATAATACTTTCTGCGATAGAAAAAATAACAGACAGAGACAAAAACGGAAATTTCAATTATTTGGAAGCAGCAATTATGGATTATACTAATTCTATGATTAAATGGACCACCGACCTATCTCAAACAAAAGATGGGGATGATCATGTTACCAAGATGACCCCTATCAAAATTCGACAACAAATATATGAGGCACTTGCATTGCGTGG